GGGAGGTTGGGATTTGAAGTGGAACGGAGAGGGCTGTTTGAGGTGAGGAGTCAGGTCAAAGCCCATGTGAATGAGAGAGTAATTCATAGTCCAGCCTGTTGAGAGTGGACCATGGATATTTAAGGCCGGGGCTCACTTGTGGGAAGCTTGACAGCCAGGCAGGAAGGAACAAAGGTTTTCATGCTACGATAGTGAAATGAGGACTATTGCTGGCAGGGAGGTGCAGGCAGAGTTCAGTTGTGATGGTTATCTAGCTGCGGGGCAGATCAGGGTTGAAACCGAGGTGATGTGAGGTTTTGAGGCTGTAGAGTGGGTGGAACCTGTGACTGGCAGTGGGAGCAGAGAGGGTCAGAAATAAAGAAGAGGTGACTCTAATAGTTCCCGTTTGGAAGGCTAGGGGAAAGTAGAGCTGTGAACTGAAATAGGAATGCTAGGAGAGAGAACCAGCTGAAAGGGGGAAATAGGATCTTGTATATCTTGAGACTTTTGAAGTGATGGGATACTTTCACAGAAACGTCTAGGAGGTGGTCAGGGTCATGCAACTAGGACTTCTCTGACTGAGGTCACTAATTGTCTGTAACAAACCACTCTACATACCGGCCCTCCAGCTCGCCTCTACTTAGTCACCAGTTCTTCCTGCTAGATAGACTTGAAGCAGGAAAGGAAAGCGAGGCGATCTGATTGGGCTACCTGGACCGGAGAGGGCAAGGCTTGAGGCAGGGTGACTAGTAATGTGTGTGACAGAGAGTGGTGGCCCGGACTAAGGTGGTGGCAAGGGGGATAGAGAAACGTAGGCAGATTCACGAGACCTCTCTTGAACAAGTAAAAGGTAGAACACATAAAACTTAGGGATTGTTCAGTAAGGGGAGCGCGGCCACAGACAGCTCCCACACTTCTGGGTGGTGGGTTGGGTGGGGCACTCTGGAGGAGAAGCAGGTCTGTCGGGAAGATGACGGAGGACAGATTGGACAATTATGTCCTAGGGCTGCCAGTTGGGTTTGTTTCATAGCTGGGTGGTTTTAGAGGTTTGGAGCTCAAGAGATGTGTGGAGTGGAGAATACGGTTCAGCAGCGTATGGAGGATCTTGAAGCCTAAGTAAAGATGGTTCCCTCAGGGAAAAATGTGGCAGCACTGAAACATGGAGCCCTGGGGACCGGCAGGCAGCCAGAAGGTAGATTTGGCAAGAGCAGAAGGTAGGAAACCTTCTGGAAGTGAGTTGGGTCATGAAACCTAAGAGAAATGAGTGTTTCACAGAACTAGTTGAAAATTCCAGACAGGACAAAGTAGATAAAGGTTAAAAGATGTGGCAACCTTTGTCCAAACAGTTATGTTGAGAATGATGGAAACAGGATCCAGGTTGTGCCGGACTCCAGGGTGAGTGGGAGTAAAAGATGTGGCAAGCTCTGGGAGCAGTGTGTGGAAAGGGAAGAAGAGAAAGCGGCTGGATCTAGCAGGATGAGGACTCAGAAAAGGTTTTCTTTTCTTTTTTTTTTTTTTTTAAAGCAGAAGAGATAATCATGACTAAAAATACTGATGGGAAAGGGTCAGATGAGTGGGCAGACAGGCAGTATTTTTATGCTGTTGTTTAAAAAGAATAGTTGAGAACTGCTTAATGTTTTCCATGAAGTTGTAGTGTGTCAAGCAGAAATTAACGAAACCTTTGATGTTAGCAGAGCAGCAGGACCTCAAACTGCTTAAAAGCATACTAGTGATTCAGGTTTTTTTAAAGGGCCTTTTCCCCTATGATTTGCCCTCTTTGAGGGCATTCTGTTTCAGCTGTAGTCTGAGAGTGGCTTATACTGATTTTTTAAATTGTTTAGATGAAAAATATTAACATTCTTATGAAGTTGGAACCTTTTACTGGTTGACTTGTATTGATTACTCGTTTTTTTCCTTTTTATAAAGGAATTAGATGATTTTTTTGTGTGCTGGCTGCTACATTCATAGGAGCTAAATTTTTAGGGCAGTTATATTGGGAAATTATTTTTCCCCTGTCATTTAAGTGGAAATCAAGCACCCTAGCCCTGCCCATCTCCCTTGAGCACACTTTGTCCTTCACAGCCCATGGACGTTCTGTGTATTATAGCCCTGGGTAAGATCCAGGGGGAATGAAGAGAAGGCAAGGCAAAATGGGGAGACCATGCTAAAAATGTATGGTCCTGGGAGATAAAGCTTAAGTCCTGGGAGAGAGGAAGTTTTGATTGAAATTGACATTTGAACAGATCAGGAAGTTGAGGCTGGCAGCAGTCGATCCTGAGTATGCCAGGCTGACCCTATAGTCAGGAAATGAGGTATTGGCTTATATCAATACTTACCCCTTCTTCCCATTTCCCACTTTTGTGATTTTTTCCTTCTTCCTGTATCCTTCCTCTCCTCCACATCTTTCATCCTGGAGGAGCAAGGAACTTGAGTCATCATTTGAGTGTAACAAAAGTCAGCAAGCCCTTCCTGAGCATATGCCCAGCCGATGTTTTGTTCCTAGGGAGCTTGAGAGGAGATCAGAGGCAGAAAGGTAAAAAAATTAAATTCTGAGTGCCACGGTGGAGGCCTGTATTCTGTGTAGTTGATATAGTAGAAGAGGGAGTGGAGAGCTCTCCCTGGGGGTGACTCAGGCGGAGCTTGGAAAAAAGAGCGGGTGTTTTTGTTGACTGCACAGGGCTGGTAAGAGCATATGAAGCCAGAAAGAGGGAATGGAAAAGAGTGCAGGTGTGAAATCACAAGGGCACTAGAAGGAGCTTCAAGTGGTTTGGTAAAGCCAGAGAGCAGGATTTGACTGGGGCAGTGGCCAGTAGATAAAACTGAAGACGTGTAAGATTGTAGCAGGTCTGTGTGCTCTGCACAGGAGTTGGCTTCTATCTTTCAGCTCACAGCCGGCCACTGAAGGCCCAGGGCTTTGTCACGAGCAGCTGCGCAGTAGTTTGCGCAGAGATGACTTTAGCACACCATGGAGAGTAGTTTGGAAGGATACAACAGAAGGTGGGGAGCCTGTCATGGTCAGTTACACCTTAGTGATCTGAAGGGCAAGCTGCATCAAGGGGACACACTCAGTGCCTTGTAGTTATGTGTCCAATTTAAAGAATTTATGTTACATGTATAATGTCTGGAGAAAGTCTTTCTGCTGATTAGCCCCCAGAGAGGTTTCACTAGAACCCTTTAAGAAGAGAGCTTTACTAAGCGTTGGCTATGTCATTTTGTCATAGAGTTGTTGTGAGGACTAATTGAAAGACTATGTCAAAGATATTCTTTATTCTTTTATTTTCATTTATGTATATATTTATGTTTATGTATACTTTATGTTTTCTGTGAACAGATGGTTGAACTTCAGATTAATGAGCTTTAATTTTGATGCCAATTTTTCAGAAAAGTGAGTCTGGATACATAATTCCATCCACATCCAACCCGTTGCATTCAAGCATATGCTTCTTAGATGTGTGCATGCCTGTGCGTGTGTGTATGTATGTTATGGGGGAGGTGACCCTCTTATCTGGGGCATAGATATATGTGCTTTTCCATTTCTGAGTATATTTGGTGATATGAACTAGGCATTAAAAACTGGTAAGAAATAGCCAGTGTATAAATATACATTGGGTGATTGTCATTTAGTTATGCTAAAATTTTATCTTCCCTATTCAGTTGGAATAATTTCATTAACGATGCCTTAAGGAACAGGATATATGGATGAATTTTCTTTGAGAGAATTGCCTAGTTACATTGGATCCAATTAAATTTTGCATATGTTGTTAGTGGCATTAAATGCAACCAAGTGTGGTGTTAGGTAAAATTAGAAAAGTTATTTTAGTAAAAAGTAACTTGTACTTACTATATTGAGCTCATAAACATAGCAAATAAGTCTTAAGAATAACATATAATTTTTACTTAAAACATGATCATTTACTCTTATTTTTAATATCCTTAAATTTACTCATTAAAATTGCCTATAAAATTTAGTATTTGTGTGGTCTATTGTGAGATTATTTTTTAAAATTTGTTAGTAAGTTCATAGCAAATAAGTTGAAGTATTTCACTTTTGAAAACAGCAGGAACTAGAAATGAGTATTTCTGTTCTTCAAGGATGAAATTATTTTTTCTGTAATCAAGATTTTAAAAGTCACATAATCATGAACTTTTTTTATGGCTGGTAATTTTTAATTTAAAATCTATTTGAAAATTACAATGCTCTTAGACAGGTTTGGCGGAAATATAAATGTTGTTATAGTAAGTTTGTATTCTATCCTTCTTCTCAATAAACACATTTAAAAAGGTTAAAAAACACCCCCCAAAACCCCAGCTTCTCTTAAGAACAAAAAGCATACAAGCAAAAATATTCCTGGATTGCTGGGGTGCTGGGTGATGGGAGAGAGGTTCTAGTCTCCCTGCTGTGGCTAGTTGCCCCCTTGTCCAAGCAGTTTACTGGCCCTGGGCCTTTGTTCCATAATCTGTAAAACATGATTGGGACGGTGAGCTGGGGTATTGATACAGGTAATTTATAAGTTTAGTTTTCTTCTGTCCAGCGTCCAAGGCATCCGATACTATGATTGGTTTTCTAATCTCTAGTCAGTTCATCTAAGTGGAGTATGGCTTTAAGTTATTTTTATATGACATTATTTAGTAATAGATGTCCTTAGGATACTAGCTGGACTATCATAAACCTAAAATTTTTATTTATTTTTGAAATTTTAGGTATGCTATACCCCCGGAGCATGGAAAACGACTTGAAAGACTAGCTCAAGGTAAACTTGCTTTCTGTGTTTCTCATCTAGATAAGTTCTTTGTTTTTGAAGTATTTTTATAATGTAGATGGTTACTGTGTTAATATTTTTCTTTTCAAGTGGTTGGCTTTTAAATTTTTGTCTAATTGAACAATTTAAAGTTTTTTTTGACGTTAATGTGTGAATATTTTTCACTGTTGCATAATCTTCATGATTATTTTAGTTAGCTGCTTGGTATTTTAGCAAGTGATTGTGCTTAACCTATTTTGGTTATTTCCAGATTTTTTGCTCTTTTATATAATGCATTTAACATCATTGTGCCAATAATATTTTTCCTTGTTTTAAGTTGCATACTTGAGATAAATTCCAAAGACTACTGATGCTGCAGCTCTGGGTGCTGATGTTTTATGAGTACTTTTCATGTGGTTGTATCGTTTTACTAAAGGGTTGTGTTAACTCTCCTTCTGACTCCCGGGTCTTGTTTTGTCCCCTGGGCCTGGGAGTGCCCTTATGGAAGTATGAAGGTGAATGCTCCCAGGTAACTGGATAAGCATGAGATTGTATGCTTTCTTAGACTGGCAAAATTAAACATACTTTACTGGGATTTTTAATTTTAATTTTTTATGACTTCGTCCATATTCTTAAGGGCCAGATTGAAGAATTTTTCTGGAAGCTTTGTTGATGGTTTCACACTGTACTCAGTTCTGTCTGCAGAGAGTGCCTTCCTCTTTTCTTCTCTGCCTTAAAGATGTGCCAGGCAGCCTTGCCCTCATTTACTTCACAGCGGAGGAGACTCAGATTCACCCCCTGCCAATCTCATCTTCTGTTTTGCTAGCTACCCTTACCAAGGAAGAAGTAGGCTTGTAGTGGCTTATTTCCAGAGGAAAGTGGAGTTCCATTTGAGTGACAACTGAAGATAAGGCATTTTGCCTTTATCCAGGAGTGAATCCTCAGCCAGCATTGCCCTTTTGGTCAGTTGCTGATCTAAGTTTCATTGGTATGTTAAGTTCGCCTTCTGGTAGGAAGGGAATTTTGTCCCTGCATTATGTATACTTCCATTTAATAATGAAATGGGGACACTGAGTAACCCCATTCTTTGACTTGACAGTTCTGAACAGAAATTGTTAATGACATGTAAAAGTTGCTTTCCCCCAAATTATAGAAGAGTATTAGAAGGAACAGTTATAGGATCACATTTGTAAGAAGCATTATTATAATTATGGCAGGCTGATAACCATAAAGCCTTAGTGTTTTTATAATGTAATACATTATAGTAATATTAGCAATGTAATTGTAATCTTGAACTTTGTTAGGGACTATTTTCATGAATATTAAGGTGGATGAATCCTGGTTCTGGATAATAGATTAGAGCACAGCTTAGAAAATGATTATCATAATCCTTAAATACACAGGCAGTGGACTTTGTGCTAAATCTGTATGCTGAACTAGCCTCTTCTCTATAATAATTATTCCACCGTCTTTTATTCTATTTTCTCCCCACCGGAGAACTTTTAAAATGGAGCTGCACGCTAAGATTTCTGCTATAAGCTGTCTGTAAACACTTTGACGTAAACAGGCTGAAAATGACATCGCAGGAAGATGGGTGCCATTTGTTTAATTAGTAAGAGGTTAATAATCTTGAAGGATGAAGGAGAACTTTAAACTCAATTGCATGTTTGTTCAAAACTGTTTTGCAGCATTATTTTGAGAGATTTCACAAGGAAAAGACCCTATAAGACAGTGGAGGATTCCCATCCGTTGACCAGGTGCCAGCCAAATTAATTGAATTCTGCTAATAATTAAAATGATAAAATAATGCAGTAAATGTGATGGAGCATCGTAGGATGTCTAGGTCAAGGAGGCACTTGATACATAAAATGAAAAGCAGCCTCGGATATTTTCCATTATCTTGTCTGCACATCATAATTATCATACTTGCCTTTTATGCATGAATGCTTTCATCTTTGGTTTCTATTGAAATCTTGATTGACTATGGCACCTACAAATATTTTATCTGAAAGACGTTAGGCCTGCATCTAATAAAGTCAGGAGTTTGATTTTGCCCTTCAGCTGCTTTCTCATTTATACAGATTTTTTTTCAATATTATGTAGACATAAATGTAATAAAAAATCTCAAGTGAATTGTTGCAGGTTTTATACTTGTTATGTTTGCCTATAATGCCATTGCATTCTTTCTAATTTTTGGTTTGATACAATTGAATGGGAAGTATAAAGGAGAATAGAAGTATAATGTTAAGTCATGAATAACAGTTTTGAACATTTTCGGTTTTTAGAATGTCTAAATCTCATCTATTTTAGAAATAAGACAATATCTTTGCTGTTCTATTAAGTTAAGCAAAATATGGATAAAAGTAAACTGCGAATGGCAAAAAAATTTCTGTGGACTGTCTTCTATGGGTCTCTTATTGTGAATGAAAAGCTAGTATTTAAAAATAATTGGAGATAATTTACTCTGGTCAAAATTTTGGTTTTGTGAGTTAGGACTTCGTGCAGCTGATTTTAGAAGTGTGAATGTTCAGCAAGAATCTTGTTTCAAATGACAGTATGATAGAAGTGAATAAATTGCTTCTTTTAGATCCTTATATTTACTTGTAACAAGTGTTTTACTTTTGACTTATTAAAAAAGCAACATTCAGCAAAAAGGAACAGAAGAATCATTATTATGAAGGATTGATTTAGTTCATGTTTTTTTAAATGGTTATTTTTCGTGTGGGTGTGTTTGTGGTTTTTCTTTTTCTTTAAATGACTAGTAATGTTGAGTTGAAGCCTGGGGAGCAGAGAGTCTCAGCCTGATTTGCAGGGATTCCTGCCCCAGGAGGCGAACAAGGGTCTGTGGGTGGGATGCAGGCAGTCTGTGGACTCTGAAATTATATTTGAAGTTGGGCATGTATGTGGATTTCTGGGAAGCCATCATCAAATCCCTTAAGAAGGTTTGGTCCAAAAGAGATTATGAACCGTTGCTGTCAAGAGACTAGAAGAGTAGCAATAAATAACAAGTCATTTTCATTTTATGAACAGATTCTAAATTGACCTGTCTCATACCTCTGTCTTAGAAGGTAGGAAAATGTACTTTTATCAGCTCTCAAAATGATAAATACGTTATTCCCTTAAGCATTCATTTAGCTGATGGTCTGAAAATATCATATTAAAATTCCTGGTTTTGAAAGGCTAATAAATAAAATACCCCTGATTATAAATAATCAATTTTAAGGGGCCCCCTAAGCCATAAAAAAGGGAGAAGTGCAGTGATGATGTTTTCTGTCTTCATGCCTAACTCATGCCTTAGGCATGGCAATCAATGTGTGGTGTGTCAGGGTATGTTTATTTTCATCTTACTATCAGCCAAGTTGGATTAAGGACGGTGAACAATCCCTAAACCTTATTTCCTCATACTTTGATGCCACATATCGTTGTCCATGTTTATGTTTTTGAACATTTAGTATCTGGCCGTATTCCTACTAGGATTTTAGACATTGGACAAAATCCATAACATACGCCAAGCTAGCATAATTCGAATGTGAGGTGAAAAACTATTCTGAGAAGTGACAGCAGAGGATGAGGAGGAAGAATTCAGGAAGGAAATGCCAGCTAGCAGGAAGGAATTCTTACGGAGGGAAATGAAGAGTTCTTGGATTTTGTGGGGTGCAAGCTGAGCCAGAAAAGTCCTGGTTAGCTTGACTGTGACCTGTCTAAGCCCACAGTGTTTGGTCTGAGGAGTCCTGGGTGACCTGTGCATGTGTGGCCCATGTGTTATGCCAAAGGAGGGGAAGAGGGAACTCAAACAAAGGGTCTCAGGAATGCCGTAAAAAACCATGTGTAATGACCCATATACCTGTTAAATTGGGTGAAAATTTTAACTCATTAAGTGTTCTGTGAACCAGCTTGAAATGGAAAGAACTTGTCCCTTACACAGTGCACTGTGTTCAGGAGATAAATATAAGAGAGTTGTTTAGGAGAGCCACCATCCTTCTCGATTCCAGGATCAGTGTGAATTTCTCCTGGCACTCCTCCCAGACAGCTCTACGGAGCTGTCTCTCTACCAGTAGAGATATTGGTAGATTATGGGATACTTAGAGCAGAGTGAAGCCTGCAATGGGATAATTTTCTATCCAACCCTAAGTAAGTACTTACTCCATGAAGAGTAGGAAGCAGAGAGACCAACTGTAGCTTAAACCTCTAATGTTGACCTCTTAAGGAGGAATGGAGATAAAAATCACCAGGTTTCTCCCCACATAATGTAGCTCATTGGTTCTTTTCCTGAATAAGCTTTTTAAGAAATTCCATGTAGGGGCCGACCCCGTGGCCAAGTGGTTAAGTTCGCATGCTCTGCTTTGGCAGCCCAAGGTTTTGCTGGATTGGATCCTCGGTGCTGACATAACACCGCTCATCAGGCCATGCTGAGGCGGCATCCCACATAGCACAACCAGAAGGACCTGCAACTGGAATATGCAACTATGTACTGGGGGGCTTTGGGGAGAAGAAGAAGAAGAAGTAAAAAAGATTGGCAACAGATGTTAGTTCAGGTGCCAATCTTTAAAAAAAAAAAAAGAGTCAGAAGAGCAAGAAGCCGCTAGGGAATATTTTTTAAAAATAAAAAATAAAAGAAATTTCATGTGTAAGTCAAATACATCTAAAAGCATTTCCCACAGAAGCCATCCTTCTATATCCTTTTTCTGTGTTCTTTTCCTTACAATTTGTTTCTATGTTTGCTATATTTTTTCAGCCTCATTTCAGTTATATGAATATTGCAAAAGCCTTATAAAAACTGTATCAAAGCATCCCTGGTTAAATTTCAGTTATATGCAAATGAAATTGTCTTTATCAAAATCTGTTGCTAGAGTGGAAATACATTCTACATGTCTGATTTCTCCACCTTTCCTCCTTCCTTTCTTCCCTTTCTTCCTTTCTTTCCTCTCTTCCTTTCTTTCCTAAGTGGTTAATAACTAATTTCAGCTTCTCTAATCTAGTGATTGTATACCCATGGAAACTGTTACTAAACTTTGATTTTCAAATCTTTTTCCATGGCTGAAACTTTTGGTGATTTAATAGCAATAGCATATGTTCGTGTTTGAATCATATGACATTGGAATTTAAAAAGAATTCCTTAGTTAGTAATAGCTGTTATATTAGAAAATGTAAACCGGTTGACAGTTTGGAGAAATTTTCATCCAAAGGAAAGAACACATTATTTTTAGAGCATATCCGCTCTATTTCTAAAACAATTTAAAAATATGTATTGACTCTTAAGGGTCAGGTTTATTGAAGTAAAATGCACTTGTACTGTAAAATTCACCACTTTTAAATTCAGTGAGTTTTGGCAACTGTATTCAGGGCTGCAACCACCACCATTATGAAGATATGGAACATTTCCAGTACCTCAAGAAAGTTATCTCCTGCCCTTTTGCAGTTAATCCCTCCCCCGAGTCACTGGCAACCACTAATCTGATTTCTGTCCTATAGTTTTACCTTTTCTTTCTTTCTTTCTTTCTTCTTCTTCTTCTTTTCTTTTTTTGGTGAGGAAGATTGGCTCTCAGCTAACATCTGTGCCAGTCTTCCTCTAATTTGTATGTGGGGCACTGCCACAGCATGGCTTGATGAGTGATCTGCATCTGGGATCCAACCCCATGAACCCGTGAACCCCAGGCCACCGAAGCAGAGCATGCAAACTTAACCACTACACCACCAGCCTGGCCCCAGTTTTATCTTTTCTAGAGTGTCATTAAAGTGGGATTATACAATATGTTGACTTTGTGTCTCATTACTGTCATTTAGAATAGTGCTTCTCACATATGTTACAGTGAATTCAGGACATCCTTTGGATGCTTACAGCACCTGGTCCTTAAGAAGGCTTATGGGAATCTACACTTCTCATTGCTGTAGAACTCCCAGCAGTACTTTGGCAGTCTTAGCAAAGGTTATTGTGGGATGCTTTTAGGGTTTCAGGACCCTATTGGCATCTCTGGAGTACATACTCCTCATCATTGGTAGTCTTTCATCCCTCTGACATATTGTTTGGATTGGAAGAATGGTTCCGAAGACCATCTTTGCTTGTTTGCCACTGTATAATATCTTAACAAAGAAAAATAAAAAGACAATTGAATCAATATAGTCAAATCTAAGTTGTGCTTGACTGTTAGAACTCTTGTTGGGGAGAGAAGTTAGTTACTTTTGACCAGAACTGCTTGTTTTGGATCATAAGGCCCATGGGAATGAGATGATTTTAAGGCTCCGTAACCATTGACCTTTTACGGCAACTTCCCAGTTGGCTCTCTAGGTCTCCTGGGCCTGTGATCCAGCTTCTCAGCTAGCATACTGCAGAGGTGGTAGAATAGGAAGATTCTTTGAACTGACATGATGACTAGAGTCAATAGGGTGGAAATGAGTAATAGGGGTATTAATAATGGCTACTATTCATTGAATGTTGTTATGTGTCAAATATACCAGTAGGTTTTCTTTTTAATTGAGTTGAAATTCACATAACATAAAATAAACCACTAACCATTTCAAAGTGTATAATTCAGTGGCATTTAGTATATTCACATTGTGCAACCATCACCCCAGTCCAGTTTCAAGACCTTTTCATCACCCCAAAAGGAAACCCTGTATCTATTAATCAGTTATTGTCCCTCCTCTTCTGCCCCTCCCCAGACCCTGGAAACTACTAGTTTGCTTTCTGTCTATGTATTTACTGTTTTGGATGTTTCATATACATGGAATCAAAAGGTCAACCAGACCTTTTGTGTCT